GCTGAGACTATCACACTTGGCCATGAGATACTACCAAAGGTGGTAAATTATCCCTGAGGAGGGTAGTTTGCAGGGAAGTTTTAAAATTCAGAAAGAGCCCAGCTCTCTGAATCCGAGTCTGTGGAAATGAATTTTTTTTGGCATCTGTTTTTAATGTCCTGTGATGTGTGGGTGAAAAAGCCAGCAAGCTAGACGGGTAATTAATTTTCCTGACAGAAACACCAGACAATGAAATTACCCTGCCACAAAGCAGGGTTGCTAAAGTAAATACTCCGCCAGCAGCAGGCCTGAGAGCAGGACGGGGTCGTGTGTGAGGTGCAAGCAAATGATGAGGTGGCACTGCTGCCTCTGGGGACCTGCAGGTGCTGCCAGCACAGGGACCCTGCTGCCCAGGGCACCAGCACCAGAGCTCTGTGGTGTACACAGGCACATTAAACTGGGCTCCAAAGGATGGGGACTGACTGGACTCACTGCTGAGCCGAGGAGCAGGTCACCCTTTGCTGTCCAGGCAGGTAATTTGGTTGGAAATGGGTAGGGATGTGGAAATGGGGATGGGATGGCTGCTTTTGTCCTAGAGATAGAGGCTCTTGGTAGGGCTCTTCAGGCTTTCCCAGGCTGGTGGCAAGTGGTTTCTAAAGCTTTGGTCTGTGCTGGTGGGATTTGTGTGAGCTGTAGAACAGGTTGTGCCTGTGCATGCAGAAGGGGAGTGCATTTTGTTGGAAGACATCGAGGCAGCAGCTCATGGGAGAGGAAGGACAGGAGGGCAAAGTTTTCTGTTTTCCTTCTGTGTGCCTTGTACTGGAGGCAGGAGTTGCTGTGCCAGGAGTGTTGCAGATGCACAGCCAAGAAATGGGTGGAAAGCAGGAGCTGGGGATGTTCCTGCATGCATTGAGGTGTCTGGCAGCTGGCTCCTCTGTGTGCTGTCAGACAGGATCCCTCACCACAATCGAAAGGTTTGGTGGATCTGTGTTAAAAAACCTGTGTTGTTGGTACAGAAGATACTTCTCTGTGCAGTCATGGAGGGATCTGCTGAAGATTTCAGTGCTGTTTGGGAGGATCTGCTGCCACATGAGTTGTCCTTCCCATTTATGATTGCAATACTCGAATGTGCACATTTTCATAGAGCATTTTCCCTTGTTACACAGTGCTAGCAGCTGCAGAATGCAGAAATCCCACACAAGAACTGTTTAAGACTTGGAAACCGTTTTCTTTCCCTTTGGAAAAGAAAATTACACCTTTTTTTGCTGAGCTCAATCTGAGTGCTTTTAAGAAAACAAGGGTCAGTTGTGGACTGCATGTGCATTTTAGGACCAGAGTTATTTAATGTACTTATAATCTGTAAAAAGTGCTGGACCAGTAGTGAAATGTTCAAGCATGCAGACATCACATACTGTCTTAGGTTAGGTTGCAGAAAAGAGCAAGGAGCATTTAAAGGACTTGATCTAGATTACAGAAAACATTATGCTAGATGAGTGCAGTACCAAAAGGCAGTAAACATTGGAAGAGAAAAAATGAACTATTTCTGCATAATTCTATGTCCTAAATTAACTGCAGCTTCTCTGGAGAAAGGACTGTGTGTCTCAGAGGATCTCCCAGATAAAACATCTGCTGAAATGCCTCGTGTCACTCCAAAAGCAAACAAAATATTAAGCTTAGGGAAGACTGGAACGCGAAAGCATTCTGCAAATAGTGTAAAATAAGTCTGGGGAATATCCTGGTTAACTCTTTCTAGGTCTGTTTAGCCTGTCTCCAGCAGTCATGTCAGGAAGAGGAGTTGCAGGGTCAGGCAGTGGAAGGGGATTGAAACATCCATGGGATGGAACACTGGGAAGGCAGAAGCTGCTGCAGGCATGGGAAAGAAAGGCAAAGATATAAAAGCAGCTTGTGGTAAAGGACAGGTGATTCAATCATTTCCATCTTCACCTCTAAACCAATCTATGTGAACACAAAGTGAGAGGTGACAAATTTAAACCTGATGAAGGAAGATCAAGCTCTAAACAGCTGAGCTTAGATGCTATTGAAAGCAGAAGGGTGCCTGTGGAACTCTGTGCCATAACATGTGATGGAAGTAAAGATCTCACCTTGTCTTAAAAAACTGACATGCTTATGTTAAGAAAGAGAGGAGTTGTATGTTAGATACCATGTGCAGAAGGATGTATGCATCCATAACTGAGAATAAAGAACAATATCCCTCACAGTGAAGACTCCAAGGTATTCTGTCAGTGGACAGGTTATTTCATTACAGAGCTCATAGCATCCTGCCCCAAAATGGTTGGTATTGGCCATTTCAGGCAGTCAGAGCACTGCTCCTGGTGACTGCAGCTCCATCTTTCCCACAGCAAACAGGAGGTATCTGCTGGCTGAAAATCTGGATTCCTGTGTGGTATCCATTACCTGTTGTTCTTGAGGTGTCTTAGTGACTGTTTAATTAAGTTAACAAGACTTTTTTTTTGCCTTAGGGCCACTCCCTCTCCATAGAAAAATCACAATGATTAGATGAAGGCTGGGAGAAAACCCCAGCAAGTGGTGGCTGTGGTGTGTGTAAGGCAGCATATGACCTAGATGTAGCCCTTTCCCACAGGCATTCTCACCATTGTTAGAATTCATGGAATGAGTGATGCTCTGTTTAGTTGCACTCTTTGTGTTTAAATAATGTGGACATAGATTTGTTCTTTCCTCCCCAATAGCGAAGATGGAAAACTTCTTCTGTGTGTAAAAAACAAATTCTCTCCTTACTACTCCAGAAAGTGGGACTTTCAGGTAAACCCACTTGACAGCCAAAGACTCAGGAGAAAAAAAAAAAAAAGATTTTGGAACCTCAAATTCTAGGTCATCCCTTCTTGCAGGGGTCTGGAGGTGTTGGCAGCCTAAGTGTGGGGAGAGAGGAGGGGAGGTGTGTGCTGCATATGACAGCAGTGCAAGTAGTTTTTTATGCACAGGGAGTTTTCCACACAAAATCACGTTGGGAATATCCCTACAGTCCACTCCTCCACTTGAGTTAGTGGGAGGGATCTGAAGTTGAGGCGATTTGTGGCTGAGCTCTCATTAGTGACCAGGGACATTTCCCTCACAATGTGGAAGGCAGGCAGGGAGAGGCAGATGGCTTTGAATGCAGGATTTACATAGTAATGAGATTCAGGTCACCATAGCTGTCTTTTTCTCTCTGCATTTTGTCTAGGTGTCGGGTAGTGTGTAGGGATGACAGGATTGACGGAATAGGGAGGAAAGGAGGAAAATTAACCCTTTGTTCATGAGGAGAAATTGCTGTTAGAATAAAAAGTTTGTCACTGTGGGCTAAAGAGGAGTGTAGGGTATGACAGTGATAAGCACAGATGAAGCTAGAGGGGGTAAAGACTTCTTAAGTTTGACTTGTTTTTTGTGGGGATGGCACAAAGAATTCTAACTTTAAAATCCCACAATTTCCTGTAATTTTTACGTTCGGCGTTGCTGGTTTAAGAAGAGGTAGTTTGGGACTTCTATCATTACAAGTCTCCCAAAACTTGGGAGAGTTTATGGACTGAAGGCAAGGCATGGATTCTTGCTACAGAGTCTTTGCTTGTTTGGAAGAAAATTACCATTTTGCTTGGTTTCTTGGCTAAAGACTTGTCTTGACATGACTATGTAATGGTGTGATTAAAACATAATATTTTCCACTGCAATTGGTAATCCTTAGTATGATCTCACTAGTGTCAGATCTTATCCTGATGACAAATGGGGAACTGAGAACCATGGGTCCTATTTCGAGCTTTGCTTGGTGGCACTTGATTCGCTCAATAGCCAACTCCAGGCATTTCCAAAATATGCATAAGGGCCTGAGAAATCCCAAGGCTGTATTTAAAATTATGAAAATTTTAAATCAGTGTGTTTATTTTATCTGTCTTCTAGTTTTTCTTTCTTTATAGTTAGAGGAGTATGGGTGAGTAAGTTATTCTTCCTGCTGTATGTGCCATGACACCAGAAGCTGGGGCTTTAGAAGCATTGCAAGAACGGGAGAGAAGCTTTAGGAGATCCTTGTATAAATAGGAACTGTGTCATATAACTGCATGGGGACATCTAGGCAGAGGTGGGATAAGCAAGGAAGGTGTTTGTGTGATAAGGTTTTTAGTATGTGGAAAATATTTTCGGTTCTTTCACACAGAAGTTTTTGAAACGCAGAACGTTTGGGGCACATAGGCCAGGATTCATTTAATCTCACCTTGGCCAGTGGAACTGAGCAAGTTCATGTAACCTTATCCCTACAGACCTTTCCAGCATCAGTGGAGAAGGATTCCAACCACCCCAAGGCAGTGGGACAGATTGCCCCTGGAAGGGGAGGGAGCAGAGGTGCTTTGGTGGCATCTCCTGGAGCCAGAGAGCTGCTCCATTTTAGCTGTTTGGGCTGAAAGGGAAAAGAAAATCTAATCAGGTGCCTGGGACAGACTGGGAAAGGAAGGCTTCTTGGCTACTTCCTCCTGAGGAAAAGGCTCAGGTCTAATAGATCTAATTAAATTATTTCTTTGTTTTATTGTTACAGCTATTTGTTTAAAAAGTCAGTAATCCTTTTATACCAGTCCTGTAATGATTATTTAATGTCTGGCTGTTTGTGAGCCCGCAGAGATGTGTGAACAGAGGATGCTTCACTGCAGGGGATCTGCATAGTTCTCCACAGGCCAGCGAGCTGGCCCTGAGAGCCTCGAGTGGGGGCCTTGACTGGGTGCCTTCATATTCCCACTTGCTGGATGAAAGCAGGGGTAGTTCCCTCCTTTACAAAGTGCTGCCAGATGTAAGGCTGTCTCTTGGCTCTATATGGCCACAGTACTCCTCTGTAAGGCTAAATATTAACCGACTGATGTTTGGTTAGCAGGCACTGTGCCAGTGACCAGTGAGTCCCTCAGCTCTGTCACAGCAGTGACACTTGTTGGTGGCAGCTCTGTGAGTGTCACAGTGGGCACCAGCTGCCCAGAGCCAGCTGAGCAGCTCTGCCCCACCTTGCTGATGTTTTCTGACCTCTTTCTTTGCAGAGCCCCCGAAATCATCCTCGGTTTACCCTTTTGTGAAGCAATCGATATGTGGTCGTTGGGATGTGTCATTGCAGAGCTGTTCTTGGGTTGGCCCTTGTACCCAGGAGCTTCAGAGTACGATCAGGTGGGTGTGGATATTGCCCTTGGTGCTGGTAAGTGCACACATCTTTTTCCCTTCTCTTATAAGAGTAAGCAGATGCCAACTTTTTCACTTTGGCTAATGATGGATCTGTATTTCTTGCTCTCCCAAGTCAACATTGTCATTATGCACCTGGGTATTTGTTCCAGGTAACCAGTGTGCAGCTTGGTATGCTGGCTTTTAAGACCTGGCTGCTTGAGTGAAATCTCAATCAAGAGTCAATGCTGCCATTGACTGGAGAGCTCTGTGCATGTCCCTCCTCACTGGGCAGAGCAGGCACCCGTTCTCTGCTGTAACAGCAAGTGCAGCATAAAGCCTTATTTGTTAGAAGAAACTGCATGAACTCAGCTGCATTTCATAACCCCTTTTATGAGAGTGCATATTAAAAGCAATGACAAGAAGGAGAATGTTGGCATTGATGTAGGTTTCCAGTTAATATAAGCTGTCGTTCCTTTTCTCCCTATAGGCTTTCATGCCCTTTTTGTAGTCCTAAAACCTATAATGCAGCGGCAGCTAGAGCCAGGGCTGTAGAATGCTTTGCATTCCCACAGTATTCAGGCTGATCTTAGCTGTCTGAAAATGCAGCCTGAAAAGGGTCTTTTTTCTTTTAGGAAATAATTTTTTTTAAAAAGGGAAGAAAAAAAAAAAAACGCAGGAAAATAAATAAGTTTTTCACATACTGAAATGTTTTCTTGACTTTTCTTTTGAAACCGGTATTTTTTTTATCAGAGCTCCAAAGGTAAAATTTGGCAGGGGAAATAACTTGCAGCGAAGAGCAGGGCTATTAGTGACTCTAAAGGAAATCAAATGTAGCTGAGAAGTTTACAAGCATTTGAAAATCGCATACCAAGCATGAAAAGTAGATTTCTTTCTCTTCCCCATTGCACCCCAAAAGCCATAAAACACACAGCTGGAAAAGAAATCACCATACCTTACTGGCCAGCTTAACTGCCCAGCACAAAGCTTCCTCTGGTAAAGTGTGACGAGGGCTCCTGGGGGGCTGGGGAAGGGATAGGGGCTGATCCTGGCTGGGATTGGCAGGATCCAGGCACTGGCCTGCAGGCAGGATCCAGGTGCCTCTGAAGTGTGTGAGCTCTGATGGACCCAAGGAGCTGCAGAGCTGAGCAAGCCATGCATGGTGAACCAGGCCCTGAGTGCTTGGAAGTGATTGAAAGTACGGCTGCTCTTTATGCTTTTATGCTTTCATGTATTTAATGTTTTTATCCTTCTCTGTTTCTTCTCTCAAAAACACTTTCCATTCTTGCCTAGCATTTTTGAGAGTAGGTGACTGGTTTTAGTAGCTTTGCAGAGTTTGCAGCAATTTTGCAGAATGAAGCCATGCAGGAGACAGGAGGTGCCAAAGTTAAGGTTTTGTGTGGCACCTCAGGCATGTGTGACATTAGTCTTTAATTGTGTAATCACAGACTCTTTCTCCTTTATAAATAAATAAAAGTTTGAGATTCTGAAAAAAGAACTAGAGTGTCTTTTAGCTGTGTGGGTGCCAATGAGGTCATGCTTGTGGATGCATCCCAAATAACGTCATGTAGTCCAGTAGAGACAAGTACTTTCCATACCATCAGTTGGTTTGAGTGTATGTTTCACCTTAGTTCAAAGGCAGTCACTTCATAATCCTCTGTTTGGAACTTCAGGCTGCTCCTAGGATAGGCTGTGTGCTCAGGTGGAAGAAAAACAGCAGAAGTTAGAGAGCCAATATCAAATTGCTGAAATGACATCCTGGAGAGGGTGCAAAGTGTTGAGACATCCCATTGAAATCATTGTGTGGGTCCTTCTCTTTGAACTTTATAAATTTAGGAACTTTCTTCTTTTCATCCTTAAGACTTGTGGGAGTGCACTCTAAGTGTGAGTTTCCAGTGATGTATGTGATAAATGAAGGGAATTCCATTCAGAAATTTTCTTCCTCTCATTCCTTGCACTGAGTTTTATGGCATGAAGTTTCTCTACATGCTACATCTTTTTTTGTCTGTTCTCTTGGTTCAAATGCCTCCTGAACTCCTTCAAGGAAGACCTCCAGAGACCTTCACAGGATGAACAGTAACCTCTCATCCTTCTCTTGCAGATTCGCTACATTTCACAGACGCAGGGCTTACCAGCAGAGTACTTGTTAAGTGCAGGGACAAAGACCACGAGGTTTTTCAACAGGGATACAGACTCACCATATCCCTTGTGGAGGCTGAAGGTAGGAAGACATTCCCTTGTTTCTTTTACCTTGCAGTTGTTGGTAGGAAGTGAGGAGACACTCAGGTCACCTCAGAGCCTGAGTTTCTGCTTTTTGCAGTGCAGCACAGACATGGGGTGGGTACTGCCCAAGGTAAAACTGCCATCCCCAAAATTTGGAGAAAATAATGCACCTGCTTGGCAATGTAGGAAATTTAAGTCCAGAGTTGACCCTCTAAGTAGTCAATGATTTGGGGTGTAGTTGGCAGACTTTGCTCTAATATCTAACTCATTGTGAGGGGGGGAAAAAGGCAAGCATTTTAATTCTTCAGTCAAAACCTCCAGTAAAGCAGGTGAGCCCTGAGTGTCCTGTGCCAGGGGGTTTGGCTCCATGCTGTCCCTAAGGAGAGAGGCCAGTATGCTTCTGGCTGGGATGGCATGCTGTACTGCTGTACCTCAATGCCAGGGTGGATGAAAGAGAGCCGCCATAGTTGGGAGGACCCTCAGAAGTGAAACAGAAGAGATAAATCACCTTGTGACATAAAAGATGTCACATAACCGTGGTGGAGATGGTGTAAATGGTGTCTGCTCAGGCAAGATGGTCCCTGATGAGGACCGGATGAGGCACATGTGGGAAGTGGCGCATAATCTGCAGCTGGTTGCAGGGCACTGTTGGTCAATGCCTGTGTCCTGTTTTGAGCAGACGCCAGATGATCATGAGGCAGAGACGGGGATTAAGTCAAAGGAAGCAAGAAAGTATATTTTCAACTGTTTGGATGATATGGCACAGGTAAGAGCATTGGTGAGTAGCCAGCAAGACTGTTTGCATGCTTTCCAGCAATACTAACAAAAGGGAATTATGGAAGTTCTTTGTGTATCCTATGCTGGGGCCAACTCCTGAAAAACACCAGGATTATGCCTATCAAATTCGCTGTTATGTGCTTCTTTGTAGGAATGACTGCACACAGGGGTATGTGTGCTGTAGTAAAGCAGCCTTGGAAAGTGGCTAAGGCATGTCTCTGAGTGTGGAAATCCTGCATTTTCTCTTGTCTCTCCACTGCTCTTCTGTATGACCACTGTCAGGTCACTTGCTTTCTCTGTGCTTTAATATTCCCATTTGTTAAAAAGTGACAGTGGAAATACCATGGCCACAGAAGAGTGTGCTGGCTGGGGGAAGAATGGGAGGTACTAATTCCCTATGTCAGTTCCATGTTGTTGTGAGAGCTAATCCCAGCATAGCCACTCCTGTGACAGTTTTTGCTGACAAACCAGTGTGGAAAACTGGCCCAACACCAGTGCTAAACTGGAGTTTTTGCTAGTAAGGTCTAGACATTGTAGCAAGTAAAACATGTGAGCATGCAGGAATGGAGGACTGGAATCTGAGGAGACCGGATAATTAATGAAATAATATAACAAGTCTTTATTTCCTGGCACCTGATACATGAATGGGACGTTTCTCATAAACCTACTGACAATTTTTATGTGTTTTATATATTTTTTTTGCTCATAGGACACATAGATAAGTATCTGATGGCACAGTATATGATAAACACTGTGATTATCAGAGCTTGCCTGCTACCACATGGAAGCTGTTCATCCTCAGTGGAGGGTGACTAAGTGTTTCATTAGCCACTGACCCAGGCGAGCTGAACACTTAGGAGTCAGTCTGGAGCTGTGACATGCACCAGCCAGATGAGCGGCCACCACGGAGCCTGGCGTGGTGTAGGAGCATCGGGGGGTAGGATGGTCGGGATGGACAGAGACGAGAGATCTCTGCAACCAGGTTGTGGAAATTGTGGTTTATTGCAGAGGGCCTGGGTGCAGGGCCCTGCTTGGAGCTGCCAGCTACAGCTCAGAGCAGGCCCCAGAGAAGAGAGGTGGAGAGAGGTTGAGAGGGAAAGAGAGTAAGAGAGTAAAAGGGGTAAGAGCGCAAAGTTCCCGTTACAATACAATAAATCTTCTGTGTTGAATATTCTGATTCTCCCTAACCAATCTAGTACAATATACAAATCCTATAGCATTTACATACAGCCTATGAGAATCACTACATTACCATACTGTGTTACATTTTAAACCCTAAAAACTACTCTTTGGACCCCTTCTGCCAAGCTAGTAGGGTCTGCCCTGACCCTTGGGCCTGTCTGCAAGCAGAGGGTGTTGTTTCATCAAAAGGGGATTACCTTCAGTCCACCACACCATTGTTTTCCAGTTGTTCAGTAACTAAGGTGTCTCAAAGCTTGCTCTCACTTCAATCTTGCTTATAGTTTCTGTATTCTCAAAATCTTTTGCCAGACAATCATATTTATAAGGCTTTCCTGTTTCAGTGTTTCCCAACAGCGTGGCTCTTCAGCAGCCACTCCTTTGGACAGGGAGCTGGCAGGGCGTGTGCTCCAAGGAGGAGTGAGCACTGTTTGCTGGAGACCTGACCATGTGCTCTTCCCCTTCAGCACTCACTCCTGTCCCTTCTCCTCTAGGTGAACATGACGACGGATTTGGAGGGCAGTGATATGTTGGTGGAGAAGGCAGACCGGCGGGAGTTCATAGATCTGCTGAAGAAGATGCTGACGATAGACGCGGATAAGAGGATAACCCCCATCGAAACTCTGAGCCACCCCTTTGTCACCATGACACACTTGCTCGACTTCCCTCACAGCACACAGTACGTGGCTTTTGTTCCCCTTGGGTTTTGAAAAGGAGAGCTGGTTGTGGTGGAGGCCAAGTGTATCTGAGGGGTTTTTAAGATGTTTAATTCCTAAGTTTTAATCTTTTCCTGCTTAGAAGCAAAAGATGATTGCCAACTCAAGGTTGCAGCAATTGTGTTGTAGGTGCTTGGCATTTAAAACGCTGCAGTGTGTGCTACATTAATTATGTAAATATTCAGTAATTACATATTTTTGCATTAAAATGCAGGAGAAATTATGCAATTAGTGCTGAAAGTATCAGTCTATTTCAAAGTAATATAGTTCTGATTGTTACTGGAGTAATCAACCTTATCTGCAGTGGGGAGCCAACCCTTCCCATCGTGCCAGGAGTCAGCTTGGGGCTGTTTGCTTTTTAAGGGAAGAGCTGATCTGCAGCAGGCTGTTACACAGGCATAAGCACCAGGATGAGGAGTTCAAATTTCAGCTTGGTTGTTGTCCACCTGTGTCACCTTAAATACCACGTTCTGACCTCATCTGACACATGTAGAATGAGGACGGGCTCCACTGCCTGATGGAGATGAGAAGTCACATCTTCAAGCCTCACTGCCCTTCTCCTGAGGCTGCATCACAGAGCACAGCAGCCTGAAATGCAGGGTACCTGTCCCCAGCCCACTGCCCATGTCCAGTTCACACAGGGACAAGCTTCTCAGGTGTAAGTGGAGAAGGCAGACACATAGTGGGAGTTTTACAAAGCATTCAAGACACTTAGCTTTGAACATCCTGCTTTACAGCACTTAGCAGATCCAGGTGCTTTCACAGGCTGTCCCTTCCCCTTGACAGGAGAACAATTATTGGCACAGTGCTGTACTTTCATTGGGTGCTATTTGCATGAGTGTTTTAAAGGCTGTCAGGAGCTCAGGTGCAAAATTAAAGGAGGCTGCTTGAAGAGCTGCAGAGCAACAGGTAACTGTGTCAGCTCCCCTGCCTGTATGGGTGGCTGCAGTATTTTGAGTTTGTTTAAGGTAGCTTTCCCCCTTTATAAGGAGCTGTAGCTGCCTTTTTGTTACATTTATCACAAGATAAGAGCATCTGCTTACCAGAAGGTAGTGGGTGCACGATCTGTGTAGACCCAGACTTAGCCTGCACAGCCATCTTTGTGCATTGTTACCTATAAATAGGTAGTAAGTGACAAATGAAAACAAGATGGGGCATGATTGTGTTAAACAGGAAAAAAGTTAAGTTTCACATAAAAAAAATTCATGAATAAAATATGACAGCAAAAATACTGAGTGAGCATCATAGACAAAAACCTTTTAATTTGCAACAGTCCTTCTGACTGTGCAAGAGCTGATTGTGTAAGATAGGAGAGATTCGTGAGCTAATGCATTGCCGTCAGAAATCTTTCCACTAACGCAACAGTCCATAACCACATCTTCATTTTTGAAGTGCTCACTTGTGGCTGCTCAGGCAAAGCCCCAGGAAGATTGAAAATATCATTGGGGCCAACAGCAGTGAGAATTTTAGCCAAATAAAGAACTGAGCATCACGTCTCTGAATACCAAGCGTGTGCCAGCCAGGTGTGTAACCCCACAAGCCCCTCCACGCTGGAAACAGTGACTGGCAAAGGGAGCAATAAGCTGTAACCAGCATGGCAAGTGGATGGAGCTTTTGTCTGTGATTACTTGTGCTTTACAGAGTAGAAACTTCAAAGCCTTGAAAGATGCAGGGAGCTGTAATCTCTCTTGGAAATAAATTGGGCAGCAGAAAAAGTGAGAATATATGGGAGCTGTAGCTTTCTGGGACAATCTCTGCTGTGGCACGTTTCAGAGAGGCTGCAAGTTCAAGCAGTGCAAGAGGGGCTGTTCTGCTTTCTTACAAGCAGACAGCAAAGTGAGCTTAGCTTCCCATTTCACATATTTAACTTCCTGGCTCTTAAATTGCTGAGTTCTCCTCAGACTTTCTGTCTGTTTTGCTTTGTCCCTGCTGATTTTTTCTCCCATCTTTTTTTTAAAGTAAAGCCAGAGAACTTGGTGTTGCATTAGTAGAGCTTACCTCTTGTTAGATAAAACCATTTGGTGACACACACTATTTACCATGTACAGAGCCTATACTCCTCCCAGTGCTTTCTTCTTTGTGCAGGGAGAATTATATTCATACTTGACTGAAAAGATGTGATCCAATATCCTTCTGTATTTATTTGATAAGTGTTTGATTTTGCTGGATGTTCTGTGACCAACAGGTATAGATCTGGAAGTGAATGCACATAATGGGCAGCTGTGCACAGTGTCCTGAGCCTGGCTTATCTGCAGGTTGTTCATGGCCCAGATCCAGTTACCAGGATATTACTTGTAGGATAAGAGAGGTGACCATTTGAGTAAGAGACAGGACAGGGATAAAAAGATCTAGGTCCTCTTCATCAACCTTAGGGATCATATAAGGTTTGAAGGGCCACTGTTTCTTAAAGTGATGTGAGGATATACCCCCTACCTCCAGCAGTTCAGCTCATTACACAATGGTCAGCACACAGCTGATTTTCAATGCTTGGAATTTCTCTTTCTCCATATTGGGATAATGAAAATAAAATACTACCTTTATATTTCTGAGGTTGTGTTTCAGACTCTTAGGTCACATTTGTAAAACCAGTTATTGTGGAAGAATTGTGGAAAACCTGTATTGGTTTTGAGAGATCAGAAGTGAGACTGTACTAAAAATACAGTGTTGCCCAGGTTCACTGTGTTGCTGTTTCTTAACCTTTGTATGCTTTGGTATTCTAATTAATGAAATATGGACAGTTTCATCTACCAGATGCCTGCTGTGCTCTAGCAATGTAGAGAGTATTTAATCTCCTTTACTGGGGCACAAAATAGGATACTTGTCAAAATTTCCATTGCTATATCAATAACATTTAAGGGAAAGGCAGTGTAGAGGAAGAAGCTGTAATCATTCCCCCAGAGATCCAGTTCTCAGTGTGAGATAACCTCAGAACCAGATTCCCTCAGGGCATTGAGGAATTTGCTTTGGAATAACTTTTTGATATTAATTGTCCCATTGACTGCAAGAGGAGATGTCATGCTTCAAGATAAGCATCTGCACAGGCGTTTAGCGAGACAGGGGCAATGTTTTAACTGCTTAGCTGGACTCAGTTCTTGGTGAACAACTATTTAAAAGGAGCAAGGATGACTTTTTAGGGGGTCTCAGTGATCAAGAACAGTAAAATTTTTCCTTGCAAAAGGCACATTAAACTATGCTTACGCTGAGGCAAAAAGCATGAGTATTCTTTTCCTCTCAGGCTCCATCATGAGGAAAAAAAAAGTTTTTCTTTTTTGCTCTCAGTCTCTTTCAGTCTTTTAATATAGCCACTTTGTATATCTTGCCCTGTCCCCTAAAGAGCAGCCACTTTGCTTGCTTTTGTGACCTGTATTGCAGTGCAGAGACCCGTGGGAGCACCCAGGAGTCCCAGGGCCGCTGCTCTCATCTTGGCCTTCTTCAGTGCAGTGTTACTCTGACTCTCACAGTTAAGAGAGACCTGCACAAAAATTGCAAAGGGCTTTGAGAGCCTAGAAAGTGCTAAGGCTGCATGGAGACCTATTGCAGGGTCCCTGTGATGAACTCTAATCTGTGTGAGTCGCTTGGTTGATTTTTCTGTGCCTTCCTTGCCCCCCTTTCCCCGCGCAGTGTCAAGTCCTGCTTCCAGAACATGGAGATTTGCAAGCGGCGGGTGAATATGTACGACACGGTGAACCAGAGCAAGACACCATTCATCACCCACGTGGCCCCAAGTACATCGACCAACCTGACCATGACTTTTAACAACCAGCTCAACACAGTCCACAACCAGGTGAGGCCATCAATCACAAGCAGCCAGCGCTTGAAACATTTATGTCAGGAGGGCCTAGAAGATGAAAAGCAAAGTAGCATCCCATTTAACATGCCTGCCAAAAGATGGTGCCTTTCTGCTCTCCTTCCTCTGCTCCTCTCCTCATTCTCTTTTCTACAGGCAAGCAGTAATCTTGTGACATTTTGTGTGACGGTGAAATGTTGCCCTCGTTGTTTATGTTGTTGTTGGGGTGATAAATCCTGCTTACTTGGGAGGTTGCTATGGGGAAAAGCTCATTAGTCCCTTAATGCAGCAAGCAGTACTTCACTCTCTGGGTCAGGCAGAAGTATTTGTGATCTTACAGCTCTTCTTCAAATTGGCATTGAAGTAAAATGAATTTAAACCCTCTGTAACAGACCCAAGAAAGAAGAGTTTAGTGATAATATTTATTCTTATCTCTCATTGCTTTTACTCCAGGGACCGCAGTTGGTGTGGGGATCATGTGCATGTGCCCCCACTGTGAACACACTGCACTCCAGTTTGGTGGGCTCTGGCTTTATAATCATGCTTTGTATTAGTTTGACTTGCCCCAGTGTTGGGGGGTGCTGCATTAATAGATTGTATGTGGCTAAGTTGTTTGCTGTGGTACTGTATTGCAGCAGTGAAAGGAAACTCTTCAGGGAGAGCAGTCTAGGAGACTGAAGCTCGTGAAGTAGCTGCTGCTTTGAGGCCTTTTGGGAACAGGCTGCTCAAGATTCATTCTAGAGAGTGCAGGTGGCATTACAGAAAGGAAGGGAGCTAAAGGAGTCTGTAGATGTGCAGGATGCTCCTGTGTCAGTGAGAAAACCAGACTTCTTGACTCAGGTCTTGATACATGTGATCACAAAAGGTCTTTTAAAACAACTCAGGCAGGCACAGACAGAGATAGCTCATGACTTGGTGTGAGAGGGTACTAGTTACAAACACCAGTTTCCTTCCTAGGCTGTTTCTGAGATGCTGACTAAAGAAATGCATGCTATGTGCTCCCCTAGGCCCCGTCTGCAGGGCAGAGACACTACTTGTACCACAGTTACTTGTAGGAAAGGCAGGCTTGCTTTCATTTCCTCGCATTTCACTTGATATTAAGATCAGCTGTTGGCTGGGGAGTTCCATGGTCATTTCTGAATTCTCATAAGGGGTGTGTGTTCTGAGCAGAACCAGTATGCCCAATGTTCCTAGAAGAATTGGCAGAAATATTTCCAGGAAGGGTGTTTTAATTTGAACAAGGTCTAAGCCTTTCACAATTCTTTTCAACATACCACTTGTCTTGGCTTTCTTTCGTTTCTTGCCTCTGCAATATATCTGGGGATTGCCTCCTTCCAATTATGGCTTATGAGATTACAAGTTTGGGAGCTACTGTGGTTGCTCTCAATGTGTTGCACAGGAGAGCAGATTGCACTGCCCAGCCCCTGCATTGAGAGGAGATGAGGAGGAGGAAATATTTTGTTGTCACATCCTGCATGGCTGTGGCAGTGCAGTGTAGGTCCAGTGCAGTGCAAAATGTTTAGTCTGCTCTCTCCTGCACCTTGATTAAAAAGCCTCCTCCTGGGTTCATACATTCATCATGAGAAAGTGCTGTCTGACCCATCTCCAGCAGTGTTGCTGGCATGTTTGGACAAGGGAAGGATGGGCTCTGGTCTGGTAATGTCTGCTAAGAATATATTTGGAGCAGTGGCAGAGCTGTTTAGTTGACTGCAACTGTTAGACTCAGTCCAAATAAACAAAATTTTAAAAAAGTCTTCAGATTTCTAGATTTTTGCAGAACTCTGGGTTGATATTCTTGGCTTTGAAGCGTCTCCAAATGGACTTTCTGCTCTAAGAGATTTTAAAGACAATTCAAACGAAGTTTGGACTTTGCAAGTATTTGCATTACCTCCTGTTACGCCTTCTGATTACTTCAAATTCCAAATGTAATCCAAGGGGCATGTGCCATCTTAGATACAAGGTATCTAAGGGGAAAGGCCAGAATGGATTTTCCCTCTCAGGATGAGATTTCACAGGGTGTGGAGGTGCTGAGTCTGTTTTACCTAAGAGATGTGAGTAGCTTCTGGAGCTGTGTACATGACAAGTGAACAGTGCGATTTGTGGATAGCAACATTTTCTGAGCCTGTCCTCGTCCTGCTGCAAATCAGAGGCAGTTGGGTGAGAGATGGGGCTGCAGCTCTGCTGTAGGGGATGTGCTGTCTCTGGGCAGTATGGCTGGAGGTCCCATGGCATGGTACAGCACTGGCACACTCGGGCAGATTGTGATCCTTCCCCCAGCACTGCCCTTGTCTCTTTACTCCTCAGCATCCTGTTCTACCCCTTGTTTGCTGTTTTGGTTTGCTTTTTATTTTATCTTACACTACTTTACTTCATTATTTTTTTGGATTTTGCTTCTTCCAGCCTACCCATCTCCCTCATTTTTTTGTTTGTTTGTTTTTTTTTGTTTTAATTCCCGTCATTCCTTTAGACCACCAACCTGGCTCCCACCTCCTCCAGTGCCACTATTTCCTTAGCCAACCCCGAGGTCTCCATACTAAATTACCAATCTGCACTCTACCAGCCCTCAGCGGCGTCCATGGCTGCGGTGGCCCAGCGGAGCATGCCCCTGCAGACGGGAACGGCGCAGATCTGTGCCCGGCCAGACCCCTTACAGCAAGCCCTCATTGTCTGCCCTCCAGGCTTCCAAGGTAAGGGACAGCCTCACCACGCCTTGGCCTGCTGCTTTGTCCAGCTCTTCTTGGAAAGGAGTTCCTCAGTGCAGGTCAGGTGGCAGAAAAAAGGCTGGACCAGTAAATCAGAGCAGCAAGGTTGTTGTTGCGTTGGCAGAGGATCTTGCAGGCACTTCGGATATCCTGAGTTGGAGGCAGCTGATACTGAGAAGGGGCTGGGGGCTCCCTTTTCATTCTTTGCCCTGAACAAAGTTTAGGCTCTTCTGCCATACTTTGGTAAACTTGAAAGCTTTCCCACACAATACCAGTAAATCAGTAGATATGTATGGAATGGGTCGTGCTGTCACATTTCAATGACTTCACTGCTGGAAAGGGAACTCATGAGGGTAATGCAGTAGGGAGCGTGCTGCTTGTGGATATGAGGGTTCTCCCCCATAACAGATGCCATGACCATTTATGAGGGCAATTCCCTCAGCTCCAGCCCTGCTGCAAACAGCTCTGCTTGTGTATACTAGTGGTAGGAACTATTGTCAAACAACTTGGGAGATGCTCTGTTTTAACCACTTGTCCTTCTGTTAACTTTACATGCTGTTGCAATTTGGGAAAACTTGCCAAGTGTCTGTAGGAAGTGGTCTAAATAGACCTCAGTTCAGCTGGTGCAACTTCTGCTCTTCATATCTACAAGCCTGTCTGTGCATTAGTCTCCAGGCACTTGTTAAATGTTCTGCAAGATTATCAAAGCTCTTTTGAACTAGAGAAGTTTAGCTAGACCTCTTCAGCGTAGTTAAAATGCATCTCAAGGGTTTGACTTCAGAAGTGGAGGATGTAAGAGACCATCCTCAGCTTGCTGCTTTGAGAAGGCTCCAAAGGAGAGGAGGCAGCACAGGCTGTGCCATGCACTGAGGTGCTGGAGAGGGAAGCTTCCTCCAGCTCAGTAAGGCTAATGTGGGGCTCAGCCACCAGTGACTGGAGTTTGGGGTATGCTAGGGCCTTTCAAATATAAATCCCAAGAAACTGAGAAAATCATCTGTCCCCATCAAGGCTGAGGGAATGTGGAGTTCGGAATTCCCAGCCCACTTTGGTGTAAAGAGAGCATTCTCCTATAATAAAGGCTGATAAAGACCATTTCTTCTTGTTAAAACAGAGAATATGGGGAAGAGCAGCTGTTCACTCCCCTCTTTTCTTTTCTGCCTGTGCACATTGTATTGCAATATTTCCCATGCTTGAGGTACCCAACTTAGCTAATTTCTTATTGCCTTCAGAAATGTTTTTTCTGCACCCTTATACCCATATAATTTTTGTGAGCATTTGATGGACATTTTTGGGCCGGGGTGGAACAGGTGGCACTCTGATAGCTGATTATTCAGAGGAACTGAACACTGCAATTTAAGTGGACATTGGGAAGTGCCTTTAGGCTCCTCTGAGAGCCAGCCCCTGTTGCTGGCAGTGCTGCTGGTGGCTCATGCTGTCCCTTGTGTGCTGCTGGAACAGGGTTACAAGCGTCCCCTTCGAAGCACGCCGGGTACTCGGTGCGGATGGAGAACGCCGTCCCCATTGTCACCCAGGCTCCTGGGGCCCAGCCTCTTCAGATCCAGCCAGGACTCCTCGCACAGGTAAGGAATGCTAAAGGCACTGAGCTCAGCAGGTATTTACTTTGTTGTTTGGCTCTTGGAGGCTGAGGAGAGAAGCTTTCTCTGAGGGCCTTCTGTGGTGCAGTTTGGAAATTTGGGCAACTGTATATGGGTCTGCACCTTTCTCTGAGATGTCAAAATCTCCCCCTGCTCATTGTTCAGCTCAAAGACTATGTCAGAGTTGCAAAAGCCACTGGAAAAACCCTTTTTCTTTCTGCTTTTCTAGTGAACTCAGTGGGAAAGTCTCAGGGAAAGCAGGGCCAGGCCTCTGCTGAGAAGGAACCTATAATAACTTCCTGCATCCTCCTGAACTCAAAATCTTGGGGGTAGTTTGCAGCCAGATGCACCAGTTTGCACCAGCCACTGGTGAATTGCATGTTGCTGATAAATACATTTCATGCTTTAAGTTTTCACCATTCTGTTTTATGAGGACCTCTGCTCATGAGGTATGAGAGAGATATAGGAGGCAGAGGCAAGGGCCCCACACTCAAGGAGCTCTCCTTGTCAGCAGTTCTTATTGGCACAATTCTCTGAAATGTTCTCACAGGAAAAGCATGGTTCCTCCTTAAAAAAAAAACAAACAGGAATGGGTATTACTGATTACAGGCACATCCTCAAGGGGTACCCCAGCTCCTCAAACCAGAGCAGCAGTTCATTCCTCCTTGTGCAGGCTTCAGTGAATCTGCCTGCCTCAGGTGTTTTTGAGCTGGCACTATGGTACCTCTGCTGATACCAGACAGGGAAAAAAACCACCTAGTATACTAAAACTAAGTTGTGCAAGCTGGAAAAGATGACCACCTAGTTACAAAGGCACGTCTCTATCTCAGGCTTGTTTGATCTGCCATGCCAGCATATTCATATGCAGTCAGGAGCCAGCAGACTTCATGGTTTACACCTGTGTGTTGCACTGCTGGGGTAAGATTGTTGGTGCTCTTGCCTTCCTTTGCCAGCCTCCAGTCACATTTATCTGGTAAAGACAGATCAAAATGCAACTTGCAGCCTGTGTGATTTCCATCAGCACTGCCCCTTCCCAATAGAAGAGCCTTTGTCAGAGAGCTGTCTGAAACATCAAACCAATCTCTGCTGCAGCCTGTTGTAACAAGTGACATGGGCCACCACCCTTGTTTGGTGGGAAAGAAGAGCCTAAGAGGCAGGGAGACAAAAGTCATGGCAAAGGAAAGAGCAGTCTGTGCAGGCTCAGTGGCTGGCCCCTCTTGCTTGTGCAAGAAGTCAGCCAGGACAGTGAGTGAAGGAGGTCACAGAGCTAGCTTTACATGCCCCCACCATCCTGCCAGGCCTCCTGTGGTGTGCTGTCCTTTGGGGCTTGAAGGGGTGAGGGTTGGATGTGAAACATCTCAAAGCAGGATCCTGAATGATCTCAGTACCTCCTGCTCCTTCTTTCTTCTCGTGGTGGCTTTGCTGGGCTCTATGCAAGTGAGGAATGTTTGGTGGTAAAGCTCTTCCTGAGCACCCTCCTGCCCACAGGTCACCGATTTCAGTGCCACGTGAACACCTGTTTCATGGGCATCCCATTTCATACCTTCTGCTGACATCTCATTCACTGTCACTTCCAAAGGGGAATTCTGGCTGTTTCTGAGAAACACTCCTCACTTGCACAGACTTTTAATTTTTGATGCAATAAAGGAGAGGAGATGTGCCTGTTGCTGTGCCCATTTGTCTCGCGCGGTGAGAAATGCGAGCTGTCTCTGAAGGCAGGGTGCTCTGATTGATGCCCCTGGCATCTGGTGTCCGTGGGCCTCGCTCGGTTTGGGCTGAGCAGCTGGCCTGATAAACAAATCTGTACCCAATTCCAGTTTCCTGAATGGAAAAACACAGCTTCTTTGTGATGCATTGTAGTCACATCTGATCTTGGCGGCTGCGTGTCGCTCTCCCAGCCGAGAGCTGTTCCTCTCATGCACAGCTGCTTATCTAATGCTCTTCAGCCTGGGTCATGCAACTGCTGTGGATGCAAGAGGGAGCAGTGCCTCCAGAGCCCCCTTCTGTCTGTGCCCTGCTTTATTTGTCCCACTGATGAGGCATGGTGCTGCTCCTTGTGCTCCCAGCACTGTGAAGTGCTCTCAGGCTTTCTCCCCATGTGCCCAGCACGTGGCACGGGTTTCTGTGTTTGCACTCCTCAGAATGCCTGTGGCTGATAAAGCCTTACTGCATCCCAGTGCAGCTGGCATCCAGTTCCCTGTGCATTTTGTACAGGACCAGATGTCCCAGATGAGGGACAGAGGGATCCAGGCAGGAGGCACTGACAGAGCTTGAGCATTGTGTCTGGCAGCTGTGTGTCTGCAACCTGTGGCACGGAGCTAGGCCGTGCAAGGCAGAGCAAGCAGCCTGCAAGATGCAGGGTCAGTGGCTAAAGTTACTTGTTTGTAACTTCCCTGGGTCTCCTTTCATCCTTTCAAGCAAGTGTGGTCCACATACTGTATGCACAGAGACCAGTGAAAAGAGACTGATCCTGTTTTTACTCACAGCTCACTGCGGCTTCAGATCTCAAAAGAGGCAAATCTGTACAGTTTTCCAGTGGCTTCCATGGTGTGACCTAGAACTGTCCCCTGCCCTTGAATAACACCCTGGATTCTTGATTTTCTATCCTTTTAACTACTTCCCAGCAACACTTCCTACAGAGGTCCTGCCACTGGCTTTCAAAATGTTATTCTGTTAGTTGTTTCTCCATGTCTGGACTACAGTCTTGGTCCCTCCAGGGGACCCACAGCTTCTGAGGACAAGGGTCAGAGCATTGCTTCACCACCCCACCAAAATCTCATAGTAATGCAGTGACTGGGAGCAGGCTGCAGCTGCCAGGACAAGCCTTCCATGTGTAAGCACAGCACACAGTGCTAGTGGATCAGCCTAGACAAGTCTTATCTGCAGATTAAATGATTCAGTGGTCCTTACCTAATAAGTGAGGAATTTGTGCCTAGGCCCTGACACTGCATCTAAATTTATGCACTGCAGTCGGACAAGGAGCTTAGATTTGTTCCATTCCCTTCCTGAAAAGGGAGGAAGCAATTCTGTCTGCAAGTAAATCCAGGTACTCCCCTGGGATTGACTTCAACAGTAGTTCAGTCTCCTCTTTTAAAGCAAAGCTGAGGTAAAAAGAGAAAAGAGAATAATAAGAAGGCTTTTTTCTTTCCTGATCTTTTTGTGCCTTTGCCTCATCCTTTTACCTGCTCCAAGTATCACCAGTCTATGTTTGTGGCTCCCTAGATGAAGGGCTCTCAGGAGCCTTGTGACTCTCCCTCCTTTGCAGATGTTGCTGATAGGCCTCACTATAGCAGCCTTTTCATGTAACTCAGCAACACAAAAAGTTACAAGATGATCAAACTTCAGAGTGGAATTGGGAAAAAATGTTTTTTTGCAGGGTGGGTTGTTTTGGGGTTTGTGTTACTGGGGGACAGGAGGGAATCATGGGGACAGTTAACACAATCCTTGTAAGGGTGGGAAGGGGGACAAATGCATGCCTGGAAGAAGCCTCCCCTCAAATTTGGCCTCCTTAGAGCAGTGAGATAACACAACACAGACCCAGTACAGTAGTGCAGGTTGGGACTAAGGTGGTACCCTTGAGTTCCTCAGCCCAGCAGCAAAAAGCTTCCAGAGCCACATTCGGGCAGCACATAGCTATGAAAGTTTCCCATTTCCAAAAAGCAATCATCTGACTTGCCTGGAGTCACTGGAGCAGGACAACCTGAGTCATGCCTGTGGCAGCACAGCTGGAGGGGTGATTGCATAGCAGAATGATGGCTCAGCTCAAATGGCAGAGACTTTCTACCCTCTGAGAGGGGAAAAAGTTGGAGAACACATGGAGAGGATGGGTATGCAATGTGTAGCTGTGCATTACTTGAGACAGTAAGCTGGCTGTATAGAAAGGGGAAATTAACAATGGAGCCATAGTGTCCAGCTGGTGTGGAGAGTCAAAATTAGAAGGCACTAAAAAATTTGATGTTTGGTTAGAAATGCCAACAAGTTTTGATCCCTTCGATTCCCTGTTTAACCTAAAACACAGCTGTTGCTTTGTATGGCAAGGATTTTTTTGCCCCCTCCTTTGCATTTTCTATATTTATAACTATTCCTGCTTACACTGTGGTTTCCTGACAGTGACTAAGAGCCATGTAGCATGACCATGATCACTATGAGAGTCGCCAGATGAGTGTGGACCATCTCTCACATTCAGTACTTTTGATGCTTTTTGCTAAGGAATTGCTTTCTCTCTGTCTGGCAGCAAGCATGGCCCAGTGGCACTCAGCAGATCCTGCTCCCTCCTGCCTGGCAGCAGCTGACCGGGGTGGCCACCCACACGTCTGTCCAGCACGCCACCGTCATCCCGGAGTCCATGGCAGGCACCCAGCCGCTGGCAGACTGGAGGTAAACTGGGGAGGCTCGGGGGAGCCCTGAAGCACCCACAGGGGCTGGAGGAGCCATGAGAGCTGGGGCCTTGCTAGGCTGCAGGGCTGGGGGGAGAAGGGCGGCAGCCTGTGACACTGTCTGATAGCTGTGGGAGACTTCTTTGCTCCATGGCCTTGGAGTGGAACGCTGTGCCCACACCACTCCTTCAGTCTGTTCCATGGGGAAAAGGCTCTGTCCTGGGAAGGCTGGGAACCCAACAGGCCCACACCACTCCTTCAGTCTGTTTCCTGGGGAAAACGCTCTGTCTTGGGAAGGCTGGGAACCCAGCAGGCCCACACCACTCCTTCAGTCTGTTTCCTGGGGAAAACGCTCTGTCTTGGGAAGGCTGGGAACCCAGCAGGCCCACACCACTCCTTCAGTCTGTTTCCTGGGGAAAACGCTCTGTCTTGGGAAGGCTGGGAACCCAACAGGCCCACACCACTCCGTCAGTCAGTTCCTTGGGTAAAACGCTCCATTGTGGGAAGGCTGGGAAACCCAGTAGGCCCTGGAGGAGAGGGTGGTGGGAGGCTGTGTGGAGGAGCCTGCCGGTTGCAATCTCACCGTGTGCCCGTGTCCCCGCTGCGCAGGAACACGCACGCCCACGGCAGCCACTACAACCCCATCATGCAGCAGCCCACGCTGCTGGCCAGCCACGTGGCCCTGCCCGCCGCCCAGCCCGTCAACGTGGGTGTCGCGCACGTCATGCGCCAGCCGCCCACCGCCGCCTCCGCCAGGAAGAGCAAGCAGCACCAGTCGGCTCCACGGTGAGTGCTGGGGCTCCCAGCCCGGCTCCTTCTGACCTGCTGGCAGCAGGAGTGATTGCTGACACCTGGGGGGCAAAACAGGTTTAGTTCCACAGCCAGAGAGGGATTAGATCACACATTCTGTGTTGGGGCTCTCTGCTGCCTCACGTCTTTGGTACCCAGGAGTTGTTTTATACCCAGTGAGCATCATTTTGTGTGGGAGATAATGGCTGGAGAAGATGCAGAATGGGAGGCTCAGGCCCTGTTCACACAGCTTGTTTACTGTTTTTTACTGTTTGTTACTGCAATTACCCAGAGCCTTGTAGTTAAGATGATTTAAAAACATAACCATATTCTCAGGTCAGTGTGACGCAGTGCCCAGTTGCCACACCTGTTCTTCCCATGTCCTCTGGAAGAAGCACTCCTGAGGTGCAGTGTTGCAGCTTGAATTGCTGCTGGTAAAGACCAGGGTCAAGAAGCAAAAAAGGCGTTTGCATAATATCCGTAGATATTTAATTCAGCCATGCAGTGAGATGTTCTCCTCTCACACAGCCGCTCCCCCCCCACCAAGGTCCTGCTCTCTCCCGCAGGGGCCTCCTGGCTGACCTTGGTCTCCAGGCAATATCAAGGTGAGGCCCAGTCAGGGAAAAGGGAGGGAGAGCCTCAGGAACACCTCTCTTCAGGAACAGGGGAAGGAGCCAGTGGGGTGTAACTTAGGAGAAGCCCCTCCGGGGCCTCCACAGTGCAGCACATGCACCTTGAGGAGGCTGCATCTTCAGGAGCCTGTGCCTGATGTGCACACACAAGATCTGCCCTTTCAAAAGCAGTGGGGTGATGCCAGTCTTCTGACCTTTACTGCCACAGGGAGTGTAGGACTTTAGGCCACCTGAGCTCTCCAGCTCCTAACATAGGTCCTTAGCCCCTGTGTTCAACAGTCCCACCAGCAACAGACACCCATTATTATACCCTGGCCTTATTACAGCTATGGCAGCATAAACCAGGGAGCATTTTATAAGGCTGTCTCATACAGAGCAGTCCTTAGCGTCTGTCATCTCTCAGTAGGACCATTTGGCTCTGGAAGGAGTAGAAACTCTGGGGTTTCTTGCACAGCTCCGATGGTAGGATGGTTGCAGTGCCTGTCACAGCACTGTAATCCTGTTCAGAGGACAAGGTTCATCAAGATGTATGTGCAGCTGCTCTGGAGAAGGTCCTCTGGGCTGTGCAACTAGCACACTTCTTTTTTTAAATCAAAAAACACAAAACAGTACAGGGGAGAGAACCAAAATGGGTCACCACTTGTGCAGTGGCAAAAGCTTGAGCTTGTGGTTTTCCTGGGTGACTGGACTGGTGCCAGAGTGGCTCTGAGTTCACAACCAGTTCAACTCAAGTTAAGAGGCCACTATTTAAATCCTACCCATTTATCTGCTCTCTAATGTTGGATTTACTTTGGGTGGGCTCCAGCTGTCTTAGTCTATTCATAACATAGAGAGGCAGCTCTGTCCCCAGCTAGCCAGCAAAAGAGAGTGCCTGTGTCAGCCAGTGTGCCTATGCAGGGCCTCCCCTCTCCTGTCACTTCAGGGTGGGGTGGCTGTGTCCAGGAGGAATGGGGCACTCTCAGAGCAAAGAGATTCTACAGCTTCATTGACTGTGACTCTTTTTGTGCCAAATGAGGAACCGTGCTCCTTTGGAGAGGAGGGTGCTCCACGCTGCTCATTGGTATTCAAAAAGCACTTTGAATGCTACTGTGCAGCCATTTGTTATGCAAAAGAGCCTGTGTAAGTTGGTGTAGTGTGATATACTGCCAGGGTGACTTCCTTTTGATGGATGCCACCTATTCCTTTTGTTAGCTTTCGGGCCAGGCTGAACATGCAGCCCAGGCCCCACTGTAGAACAAAACCAGAACTTCGGGGTTTTCTTCGTTTTTGAGTCTCCAGATGTTGTGCAATAGCAAAAAGAAACACAACCAAGAAAGGAAGTGTGGGAAATGAGTGAAATGGTCTTTAGTCAGTGTGCTTTGGTAAATAACCCAATCTGTAGACCCACACTGCACTGTTTGGCTGATAGTTTTGTGTTTGGATCCCTGATCCAAGTGTCACTTTTCCAACTGGTCAGGCAGGCAAGCTGAAGTAGGAAGACTGGGAATGTTTCTCTACTGTGTAATAAATATATAGTTTATTTCTTTCTGATTTATATATGTTGTATGCTGCTTCACACAGGAATGAAACTGAGTATATGTCCTCCCATCTGCCTGCTCTAATCCATGGGACACCACTGTCCTAGAGGATAAAGTATTGAGCAGGAAATGTTCATTGAAAAAGATAAATTGCTTAAACAGCAATTCATTTTTGTTTGAAAAAGCAGTTTTTCTGATAAGTGTTTGTAGTTTTCCACAACAAATTCTAATTTTATCTCTTTTTTTTCTGGCCAAAAAGTATCTGGTTGTGATGCATCCATGTAGGATGCAGGAGGAAGGATTATCATTTGGATGGTTCTTCCTCCTATGTCAGCCATGCTGTGCCTGCCTTTGTTCTGTAGGTCTGGGCTTTGTGGCTGGCCTTTACCCTCCCAGTGCAAGCTCCTGAGAAGCAGCAGTTCTTATCTGGAAATTTCCAGGGAAAACAAATTTGAATTTTTTATTAAAATAAACTACTTTTCAGGCAATTACATGAATAAGTGATGCAAGGCACTGTCTTCTTTGAAGAAGTTTGCAGTTTCCCTAGACTCCATAAATCAGCGCTACTGACCCAGAGACCAGGACTCCCAAACCACGGCAACGGGCGACTCGATCATGCAGATTTGTAACCAACTAACACTTTCCCCCTTTCCAGCAATGCATCCACATATGAAGTTTCATCCTCCCAGTCCATCAGCTCGCCCCAGCGGTCGAAACGCGTGAAGGAGAACACGCCTCCCCGCTGTGCCATGGTGCACACCAGCCCTGCCTGCAGCACCTCGCTGACGTGCGGCTGGGGCGACGCGGGCGGCGGCGCGCGGGAGCGGCAGCGGCAAACCATCGTCATCCCCGACACCCCCAGCCCCGCCGTCAGCGTCATCACCATCAGCAGCGACACGGACGAGGAGGAAGAGCAGAAGCATGCACCCACCAGGTGAGCTGCTGCTGCTCTCTGCTCTTCTCGGTGTGCAGGGCAAGGAGAGAGGGGTGTGGAAGTGACCAGTTTGTTGTTGTTGGAATGGCTCCTGAGGTATTAAAAGTCTTTCTAGCCCCACGCTCGAACAAGTTGGGATTCGTCAGCTCTGGTTTTCAAGGCTGTTCATTTTCTATTTCTGTTTTCAGACTTATAGAGGTCTGTTCAGCAGGTTGAGTTGAGGCACACTCACGGCCCTCAGGGTGGTGTTACCTTTTTATACTAAAACCTACATGTACTTTATTTACAATAATTTTCCAATACCTATCATCTATGTTAGACAGTCTGTCTCTACTCTAAACCAATCCAAAAGTGCCAACATCACGGCAGAAGATGTAGGACAAGAAGAAGAAGGAGAAAGACAGAACACACCCAGATTCCTCCATCTTGCCTCCTGAACCACTGTTCTAAACACCCCAAAATTCTACATTTTCACCCCATGATGAATTCACCATCATTCTATTCAAACTCTTGTGGCTTGTAACTCTTTACACAAAGTTGGTACTTGTTTCCATGGGTTAAAATCCAAGGCACAGGTGTCTTTGACTCCTTGCCAAGGTCTCTGAGCTCCCTGCCAGGGTCTCGAGTCCTCCAGGGCAGCCAGAGGAATGTCCTGGGTTCCAACAGGGGCTATGTTTGCATCTCATCAGCCAGATTGTCTTTGATTTGTGAGGAAAATGACGAGCTGAGGACTCTGCAGATTCAGGTGATGCTCCCTTCTGTGCTGTACATCTGCTGTGTTGCCTTGGAGAAGTGGTCTCTCCTTACCATAGTATGTCATCTGTAAGAGGAAAGACCAGTTTTCTCTGTCTCCTTTTTGTGGAAAGAAGACTTTAGGCTTAAGCTAGCCTGTGGTGATGAGCCTCTGTAAGTTAGACATCTGTTTGAAACAAGGAGAGAAAGAAGGGCTTAGAAGGAAGGGACCTTAAATTTGCCTTTTCTCTTTTTAAGTGGTCCAGACATCTGTAAAGAGCATTAAATGACATCTTCTATATGTTTCTTCCATGATTTCTTTTAAAAGCTCTCAAAAACAGTGGTTCTGTCATAAATACTCAATAATGATAAATATCTTGCAAGATAATTGCTCGATCTTGATTGTGTTGCCAAAATATTCTTGAATATAGTAAAACTGGCAGAAACTGCTTTCTGTCTGACTCTGCAGAGAGGCATAGATGAGGCTGGAAAGTGGGGGCTGAGTTTGCTCCTCAGAGAATTAACTCATCCGAGTGAGCAGCACGGCCCAGGACTGATGCCATTGTTGATCATCCCTTGTGGAGCAGAAAACTTAATTTTCTAGGACTGTCCTTTCAGCACCTTTCATCACATGCAAGTGCTCTGGGTTTCCCATCTGATGCCAGTCACAAGATGTCACTCTGCTTTATAAGATGTAGAGAAGTAGCTTTGCAAATAGCTGAATAATTATACCATCTCTGTATTGGTAACTGAGGCAGGAAACTTTTAACCTTATCATTCCAGTGTTGTTGAGAGAGGATTATTTTTTTACTTACTTAGAACACACTCCATGCAGATTTTCCTTTAATCACCAGAGATACCGCTCTTTATCTCTGCATCTTTGTAGTGTGGTGATAAGTGAAGCCTGCAAATGTGCACAGAGCAGATGTGACACATTTGGCCTCCAGGAGCTAAGAATCTGTTTTAAAAAGCCATATGATTCAGGCTGCAATTTCAACATGCTTCCCAACAGCCATCACTATTTCCCATTCCTCTCTCTGTGCTAGTGAAACCACTGGGCAGTAAGGGCTCAGTGCCTCTCAAAGTCAGCCTTGCCATGAATGCAGTGGTTCACAGGACAGTGTAACATATTTCACTTTAAAAATAAAATCAAAAAAGTTAAAAATTGCTGCAACATTCCTTGGTTAGATAGAGGAAGAAAGCATGTTTCCAGAAAGAGTTATGTGAAGACCGGTGTGAAAGTCAGGGGCACTATAAATAAGGAGCCCCTACTTCCAGGGCTCTTCTGGGAAAGGAAGGGCAAGACAAAAGAGATGCTGAAAACTCAAAGGTCATGGCAGCTCTTTTAAAGCAAGTTTACCCATAGTGCTGATTCCAGGCTTTGGGACATTATGTGGAAATCCTTCAACTTACCATCTGGGCATCAGCCTTGGGTCCAGAGTGGGGTGAAGGAAAGAGCTGGGATACTGCAGCCCCTTCAACCAATGGTTCTCTTCTCTGCTTCAACTTTGCTGCCATCTGACTAATTTCTTTACTCAGCATCTCTCCAGAAAGACAGACAGGACAAAGTTCAGGAACATGTCTATAAGTTGAGTTGGGATTTTGAGGTATTAAAAGATTTGAGTCTGCTGAAGGGCTTGAAAAGTTGTCCTGGGAGCCAGACATAGATAAACAAACTGGCTTTGATATGACTAAAGCATATTCCAGACACGTTCCTGCCTGGGATCAGATCCCTGGTTACTTTTTGTATCCATATGGCTTATCTATAGAGTGCCAGGGTGCCAGCATTCCAGAGAGGCCAGAGCTTAAGAGCTAGATTTAATTTCTGAGCCACGTAGAGACACTTTGCATGGACATGAGTGAGTTAAATTTCCTGTGCAGAAGTAACCAGAGCAAATGGAGAATCAGAGGTAGAGACACAGGTGGAAAACAGCATGGCCAGAATGAGAATTTTTTGGCTAAAGTCTCCAGGAGAGCAAAATCAATTTGCTCAGTACCTTTTGACATGGGTAGATGTAAGACCAGGTTCTCAGCTGGAGTGAAAGTGTAACTTCCAGTCAAGGAAGCTGTATCAGCATTAAATGCCAATGAACTTTGTCCCTGCTGAAGTTGTTTCTCATTGAAAGTTTGTCTCATTCAGGAAAATGCCTCTAAGTTTTCTTGCCAATTTTTTTGGCTCCAAGAAAAATGGGAGTGACAGTGAAGTATGTGCTTAATGTAATCAGGGCCCAAAGGCTCAGGATCTGAGTAGAAAATGAAACCATGCAAAGAATGCATTGTCTGGCTCATGTATGCAAATATTACCATATTGGGTAATAGCTGTGGTGTGGGGGTGAAAATGCAAGGAATCACTTGAAACGTGCTATTTTTCACATCCTAGAAACCTTAACTTTTTTTAGGTTAGAATATAGAAATCAAATGGCATTTGACAGATCAAAGGTAGTTGCCTGATCACATCTTATTGATAGCAGTGGTAACTTTACATTACCTTCCCTGTCACTGAATCAGCTCCTGAATTTGCTACAGCAGCTCTTTCTTTTACTTCTTCTGGGGCTAGAAATTCCCCTTTCACCCATGAGACTAAAAATGTTTATTTTAGTGATTCCTCAGTGAAGAGGGATTGATTGTGAGAAGTTGTAGATCCTTTGACAATGTAAGAGTTTGTCAGTCTCAGTTTAAGAAGTACTGGTAATGTTGCTAAAATATGATACTGCTGATGCAGTAAAGGAGCCCTACAGCTTGGATTTACTCAGACAGAAAAGCCTTTCTGTAATACCACAAAAGCAGAGAGAACTTTCCTCATACAGGGAATGTATATTTTTATTGGTGAAAGAAAAATCTGAAAAATTGTTAAGTGGGTAGGGTTTTCCTTTTCCTACCAAAGGGTAGGAAGCATTATGTGTTTATGAAATACCAGCTGATCAGGAAGGCAGGACAGCACATTTTTCATTTTGCACTGTTGGTGAGTGTAGCTTGGTGTAATCTTTATAAAATCAATAGTCATCTCAAAACGCTGGGCTCCTGTTGGGTAGAGGTGCAGGGAAAAGGTGTGAGATGAGCTCTGGAGCCTTGTCAAAGGGGGCCATCTACTGGGCCCCAGCCCTGTGCCTTAGGCACAGTCACTCAGCTACAGTTCAGCATCCTTACAGAGATGGCCAGAGATTTTCAGGGGGCAAATTGCTGATTAGAAAAGTTATTTCATCCAAAACAAGCCATTCTTGCTGGCTACATTGAGGTTTTTTGTTTTTCTAGTAATACCCTCAACACAGTGAAGTCTGGAAGAGCTTCAAAACTACAAGAAGCTTTGACCTTTGTTTAAGGGAAGAAAGTGCCAGGAAATTAACTAATTAAGTAGCAGACTTCTTCTTTCTGGTTTAATGAGGGGTTTTGTTCCTTCAAAATGTAAGCAAACAATAGGAAAATTAAATTGAAATAGTCAAAATAAAAAGGGAATGTTTTTACTAAGTGGAACTGTTTTTACCAGTTTCTACTGCTCATAAAATTTTGAATGTTATATTTTGTCCCATACAACAGCATGGGAATAGTGGCTTATAAAGAGCATTTTTAAGAACAAGAAACAGTTTTGTCACCCTGTTTGTTTAATGAGCTTGCACACTCTCAGCTCAGAATACTTTACATAGAGCTTTCACAGGGCAAAGAGATTTTCAGTGCTGTGCTGTAAGACAATAACTCCGTTATTTATTCTGAATAGAAGATATTAGGTCTAACCATTACTTGTAAAGCACTGTGAAGAGAGTGAGACAGAAAGAAGCTTGACATTTGTTTTTTAAAGTTTACTCCTTTTTAGTTTCTCTACTTACTCTTGCAATAAAGTCTCATGGACAGGGTAGCTGACTGATGGTGCAAGTGCAGTCACAGTGCACAGAGCACACACTCAGCAAGTAGCAGGAAGTAGGGGTTAACTGCTCCCCAGCATGCAGCTTCACCTGCTGCACTGGTTTAAATGTAAGTCCTCCCTTGATTAAATATTTCTGGAGCTTAGAAGTGGAGAGAAGGCAAGAGCTGAGACATGGAGCAGGGAGGCACAAAGGCACCTTGGAATTGTGGCAGTGAGGGATGCTCTGGGCTGCACTGGTGGTCCAATGAGGGATATTTCTGCATCCATGCATTGCAGGAGGAAGGGGTGGAAAGAAGGGGAGTGGATGTTGTGATATGCCCCCTCCAAGCAAGGAGTGCAGCAGCCAAGGAAAACATGTTTCTCCTTGAAGCAATACAAGGATGGCCTTCATCTGGGTAGTTTTGGGGAT